ATACCTACAACCAACTGTGTGCTCTGCCTGAATGTGTCTCCAGTCATGTGTTGGAAACTTCACCCTGAAATTCATATGTGAATGACATTTGGAAGTGTCCCTTTAAGAGGTGATTAGGGTTAGGAGAGAGTATGGAGGCATCAAGAACTTTCTAGGGAGAGGAAGGGAAATACCCAAATTGGTACAATTGCTCAGTTGTGCCATGTGACACCCTCTGCTCGGCTAACACATAAGAAGACCTTCCCCAGATTTGGAGCAGATGTCATCACTCTGCTCATGAGCTGTCTGGTCTTCTAAACAATGAGTTGAATAAATCTCCAGTCTTTATGACTTACCTAGCCCGCTGTATTCATTTAGAGCAACTGAAAATCAATTAAGGCTGTGTAGTGGGGCTGAGGAAGTAGCTCAATTGGTAGAGTACCTGCAGCCTTGAAAGCCTGGTTCAATTGCTGGCATCACTGAAACCAGGCATGATAGCACATGCCCACTAATCCCAGCACTGTGGAGTAGAGGCAGAGGACCAGATGCCCTCGGCCATCTCTGACTATATATTGGGTTTGAGACCTGTCTTGGTGTCTTAGTTTCTTTTCTATTGCTGTGTTAAAACGTCATGACCAAAGTAACTTACAATAGAAAGGGTTTGTTTGTGGCTTATGATTCCAGAGGGATCACAGCCCATCACCATCATGGCAGGGAAATGTGACAGCAAGCAGGCATTCAGCTAGAACTGTCCCTTCTCCAGTGACAAACAGGAAGCAGAAAGAATGAACTGGGAGTGGTACGTGGGTTCTGAAACCTCAATGCCCACCCCTGGGATCACACTTCCTCCAGAAAGATCACACCTCCAAGGCCTTCCCAATCAGCTCCACCAATGCGGCATGAAGTTGTCTGAAGCTTATGGGAGATATTCAAACCAACACATTTGACTACATCATAATGCGGCTCTAAATTCCAGAAAAGGAAAGAGACCCCAGGAGGCATGCAGTCTTGCCCTGCCCCTGGGTGAAGCACTTGCTATCATGTTGCTCTCCTCACTAACAAACACTCTCCCAGCTATTGGGTTCTTTGAGCTCATGGGTACAAGAGTGGAAATTCGACTGTCCTCCTTCCAGAACAGGGAGTGACCCAGAATGGATCTCCCTGTCCCCAAGTGTCCCTCCTGAATGTCTCTGTAAAGTTTTGTCTGTACCCAGAAATGGGTGTTGGTGTCTCATACTGAACTGGATTTTACAGACTTAGTTGCATTTTGATCAGTAAAACTGAATGGGTTTTGTTTTTTTTTTTTAACACCAGGCTGCCTTTGAAGATGAGCCGCTGAGTGTCAGATTCTCATCATGAACCATAAACCTCGTCTGTCCCTTAAATAGCAGACATCTAACCACCTGTAAAAACATTACCAGGAATTTTTTAAAAACAAATATTCACCACACATATGTGAGAAGGCTCAGGGCTTCCAGTGGGCCGCGGAGAATCTTTGCATCTTTGATTATGGAAACTAAATACATGGGTAAGAATACAAGAACAGCATGTCTGTACCATAAACCTAAAGGCACAATGCAGGATATCACAATTCCAAATAGTGAAATTATGAACATCCAGAAAATGAAATGTTGAGGGGAAAACAGTTTCAAACTTATTCATAAAGTATTAATTCATTAATTAATTGTACTTCTGGCAATCGAAACTAGAGTCTACTGCATGTAAAGCAAGCATGAACCACTGAGCTACATTACTGACATTAATTTATTTACTTTGGGAGGTTTGTTTTGTTCATGTTCTTGTTTTTTGAGATGGAGTCTCATGTAGCCCATGTTGGCCTTGAATTCAACATAGCCAAAATGACCATGAATTTCTTATCTTCCTGTCTCTACCTCCCAAGTGCTGGGATTGCAGGCACACGCTGCTACTCTTGGTTTATGAGGGGCTGGGGGTGGAACCTGGGGTTCTATACATGTTAGACAACATTCTATTAACTGAGCTAAGCCCGTTGCCCTATTTACGTTTCTTATTATGTTGTTTTGTTTTTGACAGGGTGACACTGTGTGGCTCTGGCTGGCCTGAAACTCACAGAATACCTGCTTCTGCTTCCTGGGTATAAGCATAACAGATATTTTGTAAGCATAGGCATTCAGCCATCCTAACAATCCTAATGTGCAGCAGTTATTCTTAAGTAAGTCAAAAGCTAAGGTGCTACATGGTAGCTGTATAATTGCAGCCAGCTTGATGACTGTGGTCATCAGGAACACAGTGATGGCCAACCTAAACCTAAGCCTTTTTTGATAGGATGGATCAAAAGTTGTGAGAGACCAGCAATGCACGTGAAGTCACCCACAGAGTGGAAACAAGGAGAAACTGTCCTTCTAATTCCCATGAACAAAAGGATATATAGTTCTTTCTGAAAAATGTTTCATTGTATTGTAAGTACATATAATGCTTACAAAGCCACTGTCTTAACAATGCAGTTTGTACAGTGAGGCTTACAAAGATAAAATCAATGCATTAGAACGCTTCAAAAATTGTCATGTAATAGGCACCGCAATATTGGGAATTACATGAGGTCGAAATGCATCAATAGCCACTTGTGGAAAACAATGCCAGAGATTTAAGAAAGTGTGGGAAACACTAACAAAAATGCTGGAAACAAGATTCGATGTGTGAAGATGGACATTGCAGGGATGGGGGCGGACAGATACGTGAGGGTAGACCAGAAGGACTCAGAGATAGCCAACTTCCAAGGCTATTGGTTGCATTTAAAGTCTTTCATCAGCAAGCACTGACAGTCTCAAGTACTGTGTGAGAGGATGCTGCAAGGGTTAGCCAGGCAGACGGGCTGACACTGTGGCAAGGGTTAGCCAGGCAGACGGGCTGACACTGTGGCAAGGGTTAGCCACGCAGGTGGACTGAAATGGTGGTAAGCAGTTCTCTGTTACCCAAGAGACTCATAGAGCAGCCAGATATTTGCCAGAAGGATTTAGAGACCCGAGAGAGAACCCAGACCAGAGAAGCCTTGGACCAGTGAATTTGAACTCAGGATGGATTCAAACTTTGATTCTCCTGTCTCCATCTCTCAAGAGCTGGGATGACATGGTATAAACCCACCATGACTGGGTTTACACAGTTCTAATGATGGAATCCAGGGACAGACATGTGCCACCATGACTGGGTTTACACAGTTCTAATGATGGAATCCAGGGCTTCACATATGCTGGGCAAACATTCTACCAACAGGGCTACATTCTCATCCTGTCTCTAGCATCAGAAATATGATGAAGCAGGTTCCATTGTGGTACGGCCATCTCAGACATGACCTCCCTTTCTTCCTGGCCTGTGCCACTTGTGGGTGTGCCCATGAAGAGCTAGGTAGTATTTCTCCACGTCAGCATCTCTGCTACAGAATCTCCTCTCGTATTCCTGCACAGAAGGATGTTCACAAAAAGTCAAGCAACTCACCACTTCTGGGAAGCCACTGTGACTTTAAATATTTGTCATATCTAGGGCATTGGTTGTGGCATCTATACTACCTGAGGGCCCCTTTGCTCAAGCCCACTCTGCAGAGAATCTGGGGTGCCTCAATAGTGAACAAATCTTGGGGGCTGGCCCACCCACCTTGGCTGTTTAGATTTCAGTGCCAAAATAGGAGATCTAAAAGACTTTGAAAGGAAGAAAGAAAGTTGAATTCCAAGACACTCCCTCAGATAGAGTTTCCTTTAAAACATTTTACCATTTCTCATCAATATTTATAAAAATGATGAATAGATACAACCACATTCCTCCTGACCTATGCCAAGAACACACCCATCCAGGGTACCTGATCAAAGCACAGATGGGGCTTGTTGTGGGAGTCAGCATTGGGGGCTTTTTGTTTTTGAGACAGGGTCTCGCCTGTCCCAGTCTGGCCTACGTGAATGTAACAGAGGCTGACCTGATCATCCTGCGCCTCCCGGCAATGAGATTATAAATGCCACTGTGACGGCCGGGCGTTGGTGGCGCACGCCTTTAATCCCAGCACTTGGGAGGCAGAGGCAGGCGGATATCTGTGAGTTCGAGGCCAGCCTGGTCTACAGAGTGAGTTCCAGGACAGCCTCCAAAGCCACAGAGAAACCCTGTCTCGAAAAACCAAAAAAAAAAAAAATAAGTGCCACTGTGTCCTGTCTGTTTGGCTATCAGGATCAAGCCCAGGGCTTCATGAATGCTGGGCAGGCACTCTGCAACTGCGCTACATCCTCAACGCACAGGCACGCTTCTTTGGAATAAGATAAGAAGTCAACTCCACAGAGCACAAAGGCATCACAATAAATTATCTAAGCATGTGGTGGCAGTTGCTTGTTTGTTTGTTTAGAGCCAGGCTGATATGCAGCCTAACTGGCCTCAAACACAAACACATTCATGCCTCTGGCTCCCAAAGGCTGGGATCACATATGCCTACCATCATGCCTGGCACTGAGGATACTTTTTATAGGACCAGCTTATGGCAGAAGAGTGTGAAATCCTCCATCCTAGGTTTGACTCCAGAGCTGGGCTCTTGCCATCAGAGACTGCTAGTGACAACTTAGATCTTCCATTTCTCCCTCAGGCTGGCACCATGGAAGCTGTAACAGACCCAGAAAGAAGCAGGACTTTCCCATTGTTTGAGGGTAGATTTGGCCTCCCAAACAGCCAGAACAGCGGGAACGTGCTTACCAACATGTCGGGGACTGAGGGTTCCCCCCAGTGCTTACGCTGCCATCCTTGAGTAGCACTAAAAGAAGCACCCAGTGTCTGTGTAAGTCCATCACCAGGTCCCATGTGGCACCCGCACATTCCCAGATGGCTTCCTCTTGCTTTGAGTGGTTCTCGTGCCTTACTTCTACACGAACAGTAAATGCCCAGGCCCTACTCTCCACACAGGCTGTGCTTCCTTCATTTTTTATAAAGCTCTCTGAGGAGTCTACTCTATAGGTTAAGATCAGAACTGTGTCACGAATGAAAATCCAGCGCTGAAAAACCTGTAAGCCACTTACCTTCTGACGACCCTGATTTCAAGGAATATGTCATTGTCTGAAGTAGTCCCTTGGCAACACTGCAGGAACACACCTGGGCAATGCTGAGCAGGCGATACACAGGACAGAGCAGCCTGGGGCACTGACGCCCTTGGATGAGTCTGAGAGAAGACAAAGAGGAACAGTGATCACAGTCTCTATTCAGTCACCGTAAACTGCCAGGCCCTGTGCGAGTATTCCACTGTTTGACCCTTTGAAACTCAAGCGGACAGTGAGGACAGAGTGGGAAGAGAAGGTATGGCAGAGAAAGACAATGCCAATGTTCTGGTAATGTATGTTAAGAGCCCTACCCCCAAATAGATGCTTACAACATCTGGCCATTGTTGAGGTAACTGTCCCAAGGGGAGGGTCACAAATGCAGATGGCGCTTTTGTTCAGAAAGACATTCACAGCAGTGCAGCTTAATAAGAAACTGGGAATTCCCTAGTGCTTCAAAAATGCACAGCAATTACATAGATGTTGCTGTGTAATGTAGCATGTCCATTAGAGAAAAAACTTCCCTCACGAATATACTTCACCACAAGAAACATTAAAACATTAAATAAATGGCTGGGAAGATGGTTCAGTCAGTAAAAAGTGCGCACTGCACAGACACGAAGACCTGAATTCAGATCCCCAGCCCTCATGTAAAAACCAGCTGCAGCAGAACGAGTCTATAGTCCCAGTACGGGGACAGGGACAAGTGGATCTCAGCAGCTACGTAGACAGCTGGTCTAGCCAAATCTGCAAGTTCTGGGTTCCACGAGAGACTGTCTCAAAAATGAGGCAGAGAAGCCACCGAAGAGGACATTTGATGTCTGTTTCCATCACACACGCGCGCGCACACACACACACACAATAAAGTGAGACACAAATTAGTATCTACAATGTGACTCAAAGCCTCTGTCACTTCACAAAGCTGGCTCCAGCTGGCAGAAAGCCATTTATACCTTTGGCTTCTTCAGATGCTTTGAAAGCAGGTGCCCTGGGTGAAAATGTCAATGGCACTCATATTAGGTCATGTTGCAGGGCTGTGGAGTCCTCTGCGTGTCCGTTTATGTCCCAGGGCTTGTCTACATGGTCCCCACCCCACTGAAGCCAGGAAGAGAGATGTAAATAGTTAGAGGAAAAGGAAAACAACAGATTTGTAATATATCCAAAATATTTGTTTCACAAGTTTTCCTCACAGCTGGGAGGAGTTTCTTTTCACACCCACAGAGAAACCGAGAAAAAGAAAAGAGTTACTGAGGAGAAAACAAAGAGAAAGAAAATAGGGGGGGACGACAAACAGAATTCCCGGTTTGCTCTCAGACCTTCCAAACCCCCACATACAGGGTCAGGCTCTCTTGAAAGCTGCCACTCATCTTCTGATACTTTGCTCCTGTTCTGGGAACAGCTCACATTTCCAGGGCCACATCCTCCTGTTGTGAACTCCCCGCAGCGCAGGCTCTCACAAGTCTCTGGACACCAGAATGTTTCGTCATCTGAAGACAAGGTCCCCTGCTGATCTGCCAGCCCACAGTTTCTTAATTATAAAACTTGTAAGAGGATGAGAGACTGGGCCTGACGGTGTGGGCCTGTAATCCCAGTTACTCCAGAAGTGGAGGCAGGAGGACTGGAAGCTCAAGGCCAGCCTGGACCTCAGACTGAGTTCAAGACAGCCCAGACAGCTTAGCAAGACTCTGTCTCAAAAAGAAAAGTTAAAATATGGGCTGCGGCTCAATGGTAGAGGGCTTCCCAGGCAAGTGTGTGGGCTTATAGTCCTATTCCTATGTTCAGTCAGAAGTATTGCAAAAAAAAAAAAAAAAGGAAAGAAGAAATCAGTCAATCAATCAATCAATCAATCAATTCTTGAAAGGAGCATCCAGCTTGGTTTCTATTGCTGTGATAAAAGCACCATGATGAAAAGCAACTGGGAGAGATAAGGCTTTACTTCTGTATCACAGCCCATCATTGGAGCAAGTTAGGGCAAGAATTCACAGTACCAACCTGGAGGCAGGAACAGAAGCAGAGACCGTGGAGGAATGCTGCTACTGGCTTGCTCACTCAAGGCTTGCTCAGCCTGCTGCAGGGTCACCTACCCAGAGTTAGCACCACTCACAGTGGGCTGGATCCTCCCACATCAATCATTAATCAAGAAAATGCCTAACAGGTTTGCCTATGCACCTCTGATGGAGGCATTTTCTCACCTGAGGCTTCCTCTTCCCAAGTGACTCCAGCTTGTGTCAAGTTGGTGTTAAACTAAGTAACACAGGGGCCTGAGGGGAGAGGAAGTCCTGGTAAATATTGATGTAGTTGTACTTTTAGCATCAACTGATATAGACCGTTTTGAATAGTCAAATGGCCATGAATTCAAAATGGATTTTTAATGAAGTTGCATTTTAAAAATTCTGGCAGCATCTATGGACTTTTGAAAAGTCACTGGAATATTTGGTGTTACTTATATAGTAATTCCAGAAAATTCTTGATATATAAAGTGTTCCAGAATGGACACTTCCTACTCTACCCTTTTCTTGGAGATGAAACTGACACTGTATTCCCATCCTTTCCCTCCTAGTGATCTCACCAGCAACTGTCTGGAGTGAGTGTCCTTGTCACCAACAAGAGGAGGACACTAACCTTTATTAAGCCCTTATTGAGTGTCAGGCACTGTGCTGAGACGTATTAGGAAAAAGAGAACTTCCAAGGGAGGAAGTGAGCCAGAGATAAAGCTCAGGGCATCCATGACCAGCAGATTGAGACCATATAGGTCATGTGTATACACATGTTTTTTTTCTATTACATGTCAAACTTGGTAGGGAATGGTTTATGGTCTGGTTTCCTTTATATCCTAATTTTTAAAAATCAATTTATTCATTTAGTGGGGCAGGGGAGCATACACATGCCACAGTGCAAGTGTGGAAGTCAGAGGACAATTTCTAGGAGCCAGCTCTCTCCCACATGGGTTGGGGATTGAACTCAGGTGTCAGGCTTGGCAGCAAGTGCATTGACCACCTGTGCTATCTCGCCTGCCCTTTCTATGCTAATTTTTGTTTCACTGTCTGTCCTGCTCTCTGGTCTCACTCAGCCTGTGACTCTAGACCCAATTCATCAGTATCTTCCCGGATCAAACAGCCTTTCTTCTGAAGGGGAAGTGAGCAGCTTAGCAGCACTGCTTTCCAGTACATGCCACTGATAGGTCTTTTGTTGTGGAATATGACTTAAACAATGTAAAGGTATGTTTCATTTGTTTATGCTGCATTTGCTTAGTGACTTATGGATGTGTTGCATCAGTTTAAGTATGTAAAGTTGGGTTGCATTTGTTTAATTATGTAAAGATGTGTTGCTGTTTTGCCTTGCCTGCCTAAGGCAATTGATTGGTCTAATACAAAGCTAGATTGCCAATAGCTAGGCAGTAGAGGGATAGGCAGGGTTGGTGGGCAGAGAGAATAAGTAGAAGGAGAGAAGAGAGGAGATAGAGAGAACAAGGAAGAAAGAGAGTGAGGAATCTGGGGCCAGTCAGGTAGCCACCAGCCAGCAAGACACAAAGGAGGACATACAGAATGAAAGGTAAAAAGGCCCAAGGCAAAAACATAGATGAAGAGAAACAGGTTAAAATAAGTTATAAGAGTTAGTGGGACACGCATAAGATAAAGACAAACGTTTATAACTAATAAGAAGTCTCTGTGTCATGATTTGGGAGCTCGTTGGTGGCCCAAAAGAAAGCCTGCTACAGTCTTTCTTCTAAGCCTTGGCATTTGAGTCATCCTGAGCTGCAAACACTGGTAATTTTTATTACATATAATATTATATAATAAATCTATATGATAATTATATGAAGAATATGATTAAGATATTATATAATGTGCCATAAACCTAAGATACTTACTTTAGTTCTACTCGAGGTAAATCTCAAAGAATTGTAGGAAGAATGAACCCCTCAGAAACTCAAAAGGTTGAGGAGACACATCTGTGGGCAAATCACTCACAGCACAATCATAAAGACCTGAATTTGGATTCCCAGAATGCTGTGGAAAAGCAAGTCATGGCAGCATGCCCCACAATCCAGTGCTGGGAAGGTAGAGAAACTAGGAACATTGGGCTTGCCAGTAAGCCAGTCTAGGTTCAGCGAGAAACCCTGTATCAAAAAAGATTACCAGCTTACAATCCACACCTCTAGAGAACCTAGGAAACAAGGAGGATCCTAAGAGAGACATACATGGTCCCCGGAGAAGGGGAAAGACACAAGGTCTCCTGAGCTAATTGGGATCATGGGGGGGGGGGAGAGTTAGGAGAAAAAGGAGGGGAGAAGAAGAGAGGAGAGGAGGGCATGAGAGAACAGGAAGACTGAGTCAGGGGAAGAATAAGGAGAGCAAGAAAAGAGATACCATAATAGAGGGAGCTATTATAGATTTGAAGAGAAATCTGGCATTAGGGAAATGTCCAGAGATCTACAAGGATGACTCCAACTAAGAATCTAAGCAATAGTGGAGAAGCTACCTTAAATGCCTTTCCCGGATAATAAGATTGATGACTACCTTATATGCCATCTGCCTTCATCCAGTAGCTGATGGAAGCAGAAGCAGACCCACAGCTAAACACTGAGCTAAACTCCTGGAATCCAGTTGCAGAGAGGGAAGAGCAAAGAGGTCAACACCAGGCTGGAGAAACCCTCAGAAACAGCTTACCTGAACAAGGGGGAGCTCATGGACCCCAGACTGATAGCTGGGAAACCAGGATAGGACCGACCCAGACCCCCTGAACATGGATGTCAGTTAGGAGGCCTGGGCAATCTATGGGGCCCCTGATAGTGGATCAGTATTTATCCCTAGATTATGAATGAACTTTGGGAGCCCAGTCCACATAGAGGGATATTCTCTCAGCCTAGACCCATGTGGGAGGGCCTAGGCCCTGCTCCAAATGATATGACAGACTTTGAAGATCCCCCATGGAAAACCTCACTCTCCCTGGGGAGCAGAAAGGGCATGGGATAGGGGACTGGTGGGGGACAGGGGAGGAAGTGAGGAAGAGGGAACTGGAATCAACATGTAAAAGGAGCTTCTTTCTAATTTAAAAAGAAAAAAAATCAAAAAGAAAAAAGTAAGATAGAGAGCAATAAAGAAAGAAACAAAAGATCAACTTCTGGCCACACAAGCTTGTCCACACACAGGAACACACAAACATAAATGACAGGGATGTGATCCCATGTTAGGGGGCTATGCATCTGAATTGGAAAATTGATCTCCAATGATTTCAGGTAAATTTTAGCCTAAAAATCAACTGGTTATTTTAAATCAGGATTTTGGCCCTTTGAAGAATATTTTTAAAACTTTCCTGTAATCCATCTGTCTGCTTGTTCAAATCTCTTTGATCACCTGGGAACATGACAAAATGAAACCTTCCTGTAAGGTTTTCCATTCTTCATTACATTCTGGTTTCTATGAAGGCAGAAGGCCCCTAGTGACTTGTTTAAGACTGTCTATGAACACATGTAAAGTAGTTACACCAATTTGTAAACATTTTAAAGAGAAGTCATCCGGCCCTCTCCACTGGGAAGAACCATTCTCCAAATAAAAGTCCTGTGAAAACCCCTTTCCTGATCCACTGGATCCTGTCCCCAAGCCTCCTCTGTCTGTCATTTCCTGATCCACTGGGCCCTGTCCCCAAGCCTCCTCTGTCTGTCATTTCCTGATCCACTGGGCCCTGTCCCCAAGCCTTCTCTGTAGTCTCACTTGCGTTCTGTTGCTTTTCTAAGACACTTCTACTGCAGGTTGTGGGCAACAGAGACCATGAAGAAACAACTCAAATGAAGTGCACCGCCTCAGGGCTCATGCATCTCCTCGTGCTTCCTCACGCCTTGTTTTCATCCTTTATGATGAGAACGTGGAGTGGATGGGTGGGGATGTCAGAAGAGGCATCAGTGTTCCAGAGCCAATTCTGTGTCCCAATCAATCCCACGTGCTCCACAATTCTGTGATACCATGGCCGGAAAGCGAAGTCACCAATGCAAAATGTTCCTTAAATCTGCGTCTGCTAAAGGGCATAAAAGGTGCTGAGTCCACCATCAGTGGCTGACCCTTCCTCACCTCCTGCCCCGTGACCCAAGGTTTGTTTACTGGAGCCTCACTCTGCCTACACCCGTGCCTCCTTCACGACTCTCTCCAATGTCTAGCTAATGTGAAATTTTCACCCTTCTATCTCCTTTTGCTCCCTTTTATTAAAAGTGTATTCATCTCTACTTTTTACTTGTCTGTGTGTGCAAGTGTTTGGGGTTGTACGGGTACACGTGCATTTATGTGTGCAAGCTTATGGAAGCTTGACAGCTTGACACCATGTCTTCTGCAATGACTCTCCACTTTACTTTTCGGAGATGGCTTCTCAGTGGGCCTGTGTCATCCATCCACTGTCTCCACCCCACCTCACAAGCCCCTAGTTCTGGAACTGCAGGCACATACCTCTGTGTCCATGTGTTTACTCCGGAGGTGGGGATCAAACTCAGGTCCTCACGATTGCGGGACAGGCACTTTACTGACCATCTTTCCAGCCCCTGCCATCACCTTAATATCAGCTTGCGTGAGTTCAGCCTCTCCGCCTTCTCTTTCCTCCCATTTCACCTACACTGGAGAAGAAATCAGAAGCTGGCCCTCAAGCAAGGAGCCTCCCCTGTGAGGACTTGGGAACAGAAGGTGGTGAAAGTTTGGCGAGAGAGAGGAGACACTTAAAAATATAAGTGAACATTAATGTTATTGTCCCTGGGAGTCTTGTGGGGGCATGGTTCCAGGAAGCCTGAAGCCACCACACTCTGCAAATGATCAAGTTCTTACATAAAATGCTGTGGTGTTTATGTGCATCTTATGTGACACTTAAAATATAAATACCATGAAAATAATAATTAGGTGCTTTTGTTTCAGAACTAATGGCTAGAAAAATAAGTCTGTACACTTGGTACATTTTTCTCTTCCAAACTTTTCTGTGTTTTGTTGAACTCCAGATCTCACTCATTTAGCCCAGCAGATGTTCTAACACCAAACAGGTTCCCAACATCTTCTTACTTTCTGTTTTGAGTCAGGGTTTCACGAAGTCCCCCGGGCTGACTGTGAACTCACACC